GATGTAGTAAGCTATTTTTCAAAACAAAATCTCAGAAAAATTGTTCAAATAAAATGCCTGTCCTTTTTATTACACAAGGGCACTGATGAATTAATGTTAGCCTTTTTATCACCTCCCAAACCTGATATTGTTTTTCTTCATGAAAATTCAATTATCACGAAAAGTTTCAGTACAAGTTTCTTGACATGGCAGCTTTCGTCACCAAACTTCCGATTAATTTTCTGTGAGGTATATACCTACAGCCTTTTTCTTTTCTTTTAAAAAGTTTAAATATAAAATTTCACTCATGATTAGAGTCTACAACAGAAGCTCTTTTCCATGAGAAAGTTTCCTCACTAGAAAGAGAATAATAATGAGAAAAAAATGGCGTAAACTATTTTTCCAAGCAGCTAAGCTTTAAGTGAAAACAGGTATATTCAGGAGTTTTTGCCCGCTAACCCAATTTTGCCGTAGTTGCAAAAATAATCAATGTGTGATATTGCCTATGTAATTAGTTAACCTTGTTTTGAATTACCTTTACTGTGTTGTCTTTCTTTTTCCATCGCCTAATCACGTTAGGCTGCTGGAAAAATCAAAAACGTAAAGAAGAATACGTCAAAATGAAATTTTACTCTCGCTAGCATTTTTTTTTGTTATTACTTTGCATAGTCAATATCGAGGTCTTTTAATGTCAAGCGTCAGAGGTGGAAAGACAGCGATCTTGCCTCTATTTCATTAATATTTAATATTTTTTCTGCTAACGAAAATGACTTTAGTATTATAAGTTCTAATCCTATAAGAGAACCGGATGTTTCGAATATTTCCTGAAAAGTTTTCGGATTTTCGGAAGATTTTTGTGTGCTTTATTAATTTTCTTTCATTTCTTCCTTTCTTTATTTTTTTCATCCACCGGCTATTCGTTCTTTGAATTCTTCACGTTTATCTGTGAAAGTTTGTCAGAAAATTGTGCTATTAGCAGAAAAATGGTAATATTTGTCAATAAATTATAATTCAGCAGTCTTACATTTTTTTAGGTTTTTAAAATAATATCTTAAAAGTATAAATTAATAATAATTATTTAAACTATTTGATGATTTTAGAAGTATAAATTAATCGAGGATTTCATAAGTATTAAACAAATGCCATGAAGGAATCATAATATTACTCCAGTTAGCAATAAATTTTTAACAAAAGATGATATTATTAATATAATAAAAGAAAAATGTGAATAAGTTTTTGGTATTTTTTAAAATAATATTTTAATGTGTACATTTAATAATAATTTTTTATAAATTTTGTAGTAAAAGTTCAAAGCTTTTTACAATTTTTTAAAAAGTATATCCATGAAATTTGAGTACTACAAAAATATTTACTAATATACTCTATTCAATTATAACATAATACTCATTTGTTACAAAAAATAAGTGAACTTGCTTTGCATAAATTGTTTTAAAGAATCGTATATGAATAACAATAAAATGAAAAATATTGCATTATTGCTTTGTGTGTTTCACAAAAAAAAAAAATATTCACATTTATTCTTGTGTAGAAAAATTTAAATAAATTAGACTTATAGAAGAAAGCAGTTTAACATATTTCTTATATCTTACTTTTTCAATGAATAAACAACTTTTCCTGCAATTAAAAACCGTTTTATTCAAAACAAAATTCTTGGACGCGTTGAAAAAAAAGGCATTATGCTTTTCCTTAAAGAATTCTTTTTGTTAAAAAGCTGTCGCGCTAGCTGCTTTTGATATAGTAAGCTATTTTCAAAACAAATTATCAAAATTAAATTGTTCCGACTATTAAATTACATCTTATTTACAAAGCTATTGAGCTTGATAAAAGAAGTGTGTGACAATGTAACGTCTTTACTATAAGTTTCATGCAAATTAGCAAGGAATTATTGAAACTGTAAACATTAAAAATGTGAATAATTGATTGAAATAAGAGCAGGAAATAAAGCGAGTTATACTTCCTTCAGTTTGACGCGAAATTCATTATCAGAGTATCAGTCACTTATTAAGTTGATGTATGAATATTTGATATGTACAAGATTCGCCAATTATTAAGTGATTCCGGGATTTATGAACTATACAGTAAATGATGTTATTTTGACCAATTATTTTATATCATCGCAACTTTTTATTCTTTTTAAGATCTTTTTCTTTTCATGATTCATTACAATCATAAATGGTGTAATAAAAATGTGAGGTTTTAAAAATATTTTTTAAAGTTAACCATTGAAAATTGAGTATTACAAAAAATATTTACTTTAATTTCAATTATAACATAATAAATATTTGTTACAAAATAAGTGAACTTTCTTTTGCATAAATTGTTTTTAAAGAATCAAATATTATAATAATAATAATAAAATGAAAAGGATTCCACTATTGATTTGTGAGTTTCTCAAAAAATATTCACATTGATTCTTGTGAAGAAATATTAAAATAAATTACACTTACTGTAGGAAACAGTTTTAACTTATTTTTTATATCTTACTTTTTAATGATTAAAC